TTGGTACCAGGGATTAAATCCAGGAGTGCTTAATCACTGAGCCACACCTTGGCCCTTTTTATTTTTTATTTTGAGATACGGTCTCTAAATTGGTTAGGGCCTCGCTAAATTGCTGAGGCTGGCTTTGAATTTGTGATCATTCTGCCTCAGCCTTCTGAGTTGCTGGGATTACAGATGCGTGCCACTGCTCCTGGTCCAAGTTTTTAAATAAAGGAAAATTTCAATAACCAAAAGAACTGAAATTCTAGAATGAGGCCCATAAATTTTATATATAATGATTGAAAGATACTTCAAGATACATTTTTGTGAAATACTAGATGCTTCCAGAGTAATAGGAGTAAGTTACCTATAGAGGATGGGGACCTAGAATGGCATGGAACCTCTTAGGTGAAAATCAGAAAACAATGGAGTAATGCTTTCAAAAATTTGAGGCAAAGTTATTTCCAACCACTAGAGTAAAGTCATTTTCAGTTTTAAAAAATCTCTAAAAATCTGAACTGCTGACTGGATGCTCACCCTACATGAGTAATCTATTTAATGAACTGAGAGGGTGAGGAAAGAGAGAAAGAAGGAAGGGAGGGAGAGAAAGGAGACTTGGAATCCAGGAGAACCAGAACCAAGACAGGCAAAGGGAATTTACAAGATGATGGTCTAGAGACAGCCTAGGACCCCAGCAAGTCTGCAGGCCTAGAGAAGCCAGTTCAGATAGGAACAGGTGAAGGAAAGGAAGAGAGAGCATTTAGCAGAAGTACTATTGTGTTGGTTTTTTTTGATATTTGAAGATGATTTAGTGACAAGTACATAAACAGCTAGGAGAGGGGAGAGGCGGTTTTTAACATCCAAGAACAATTAAAAATCATATTTAAAATCATCATAACAAGAGAAAAAGAAATGTAATTGTGGTTTACTCTGTGGTTCATTGTGATTAGCATCTGTGGAATCACGGCCATGAAAACACTGTTATTCAGCTGAAAAGGAGAGATGTTACCATTGAAGTAGGGGCAAAGAGTCAGGGAGAAATGTGTCCGTGGAGGTGGGGTACAGGCCAAAAATGCTAAGCCATCTCCTGTAGTAAAATTCAGGAAGTAACTAAATCTTGAAAAAAATCAAACACTTAAAGTATATTTTAAAATTTGAGTTAAATAGAAGAAAAGCAAGAAGAATTGAAAGTATTTGCTTTGGGTTTAGAAGTCAGGAGTAGAGAGAGATGGAAGGGGAGAATATTTTTATTATTAGTCTAATTGTCCTTTACTTCAAAGGTATTGCATATACTGTTTCTATAAATATAATTTTTTATTTTAAAAAGATAGGCTTTGGAGTATTTTTTAAACTAGATCTTGCTTCCATTTTTTCTATATTCATTATATGTAGGATCATAAATACTCTTGAATATACCATACAACAAAAATAGAGGATAACCTCTTGGATGTTTGCATTTTTATTTTAATAAACATAAGTTAGCCACAAGTGTGCTAGAACAATGAGAAATATGAAAATTTGTGTTTTGCCCTTAGTCCAGTAAACTTGGAGCCTAGAGGGTAGAGAAGATATGTACATAAATCTTATTGAAACAGCATGATCACATTGCTGTCTTCTTTTAAAACCTTCAATGTCTCATTTAGTATTGCATTTGACTTTTCTTAAATCTTAAACCTGAATCTTTATTGAGATATCGTTTCACACCCACTAGGATGACTATAATCAAAAAATAATAATAACAAGTGCTGGAAGGATGTGGAAAAATTGGAACTCTCTTACACTACTGGTGGGAACATAAAATAGTTCGGCTGCTTTGGGACACATTCTGCAGTTCCTCAACTGATTAGACAGTATTACCAAATGACCCAGCCATTCCACTCCTAAGAATAACCTGAAGTGAAATTTAAACACACATCCACGAAGAAACTTGCACATGAATATTCGTAGCAGCATTATTTATAATAGCCCCAAGCAGAAACAACTCAGATGTCCATTAGATGTTGAATGGATTAATAATATGTGTAATATCCATATAGGGCAATATGATTGAGCCAAAACGTATGAAGGAATGAAACATTGATGTATGCTACAACACAGATGAACTTTGGAAGTATTCTAAGTCAAAGAAAAACAGTCACAAGTAACAGCATGTATGATTCCATTTATTTGAAATGTCCAGAATAGGCAAATTCACAGAGATAGAAAGTAGCTTAGTGGTTGCTTGGGCCTGGGGAACAAGAGAGGGGGGAGGAGAGTGACTGCTAATGGTTTCTTTTTGGAGTGATGAAAATGTTCTGAAAATGACTGTGGTGATGGTTATACACAACTGTGTGAATATACTAAAAACTATTGAATTGTATGCTTTAAGTGGGTGAATAGTATGACTGAAAAAGGATTTTTCTGGCATTTGTGCTATACTTAATAAAGATGTTATTTTATCATTGATGTGGCAGTATCCCTATAATATGCTCTCTTAAGGTCCTCAGGGAATAGTCCGAGAAGGGCGATAGCTGGGTCAAATGGTGGTTCCATTCCCAGCTTTCCCATGAATCTCCATACTGCTTTCCAGATTGGCCGCACCAATTTGCAGTCCCACCAGCAATGTGCAAGTGTACCCTTTTCCCCACATCCTCGCCAGCACTTGTTGTTTGACTTCGTAGTGGCTGCCATTCTTACTGGAGTGAGATGGTATCTTAGGGTGGTTTTGATTTGTATTTCTCTTACTGCTAGAGATGGTGAGCGTTTTTTCATGTACTTATTGATTGATTGTATGTCCTCCTCTGAGAAGTGTCTGTTCAGGTCCTTGGCCCATTTGTTGATTGGGTTATTATCTTATTGTTCAATTTTTTGAGTTCTGTATATTCTGGATATTAGGGCTCTATCTGAAGTGTGGGGAGTAAAAATTTGTTCCCAGGATGTAGGTTCCCTATTTACCTCTCTTACTGTTTCTCTTGCTGAGAAAAAACTTTTTAGTTTAAGTAAGTCCCATTTGTTTATTCTTGTATTTAACTCTTGGGCTATGGGCGTCCTATTAAGGAATTTGGAGCCCGACCGCACAATATGTAGATCGGAGCCAACTCATAGCAGCACAGTTCACAATAGCTAGACTCTGGAATCAACCTAGATGCCCTTCAATAGATGAATGGATAAAAAAGAAATGTGGCATTTATACACAATGGAGTATTACGCAGCACTAAAAAATGACAAAATCATGGAATTTGCAGGGAAATGGATGGCATTAGAACAGATTATGCTAAGTGAAGCTAGCCAGTCCTTAAAAAACAAATGTCAAATGTCTTCTTTGATATAAGGAGAGCAACTAAGAACAGAGCAGGGAGGAAGAGCATGAGGAAAAGACTAACATTATACAGAGGCGAGTAGTGGGAGGGAAAGGGAGAGAGAAGGGAAACCATATGGAAATGGAAGGAGACCCTTATTGTTACACATAATTACATATAAGAGATGGTGAGGGGAAAGGGAAAAAACAAGGGAGAGAATTGAACAACAGCTGATGGGGTAGAGAGGGAAGATGGGAGGGAAGGGGAGGGGGGATAGTAGGGGATAGGAAAGGTAGCACAATACAACAGACACTAATATGGCATTATGGAAAAATGTGGATGTGTAACCGATGTGATTCTGCAACTTGTATTTGGGGTAAAAATGGGAGTTCATAACCCACTTGAATCAAATGTATGAAAGATGATATGTCATGAGTTATGTAATGTTTTGAACAACCAATAAAAAAATGTTATTTTAAAAGTTCCAACTCTAACTTGCTTTTCCAGGCTTATTTACTGTTCTTCCACTTGGCCTCTACCAATTTTATGTATGTTCTCTTGTCTGCATTGCATCTCTTTCTCCAGTTCAAGGTCTAACCCTACCTGTTCTTTCAAATTCAGCTGAACTTTTCTCTTTTTTCATAAAACAGAAAAAGTAAACTCTTCCTAGCAGAAAGGGAAACTCTGCTTTCAGTCTCTCCCACACTTTATGTCTCCTGGCACCTCACTTTTTTTTTTGTATTGCAATGTGGAAGAGTCAGTCATGTGTGACATGGGGGCTAGGCACTGTTTGTCAGCCACATGTAGGCAAAAATTACTCTACAGAATTCTTAACATTGCCTGAGCAGTATAATTCTCTTTTTTATATTCAACTCAGTTAATTCTTTTCTTTCTCTAATATTGGAAGAACTCTCTGTTCTGCTGAATGCTAATTGAAGAAACTGACTAGTAATTTTTGACTATATGTGGCTGACAAATGTCGACTAACCTGTATGTAATATACGACTCTTCTATATTGGAATACAGGAAATGATGCACCTGAAATATTATAATATTAAATATTATAATATAATAACAAAGGAAAACAAAAAAAGCAAAATTTGGTCTATAATATGATGCATTTGAGGGTTTTTTTTTGCTTTTTAAAAATTTAAAAATTTTTTAAAATTAGTTATACATGACAATAGAATGCATTTATGCACTTTGATATACATTGATGGGATATAATTTCTCATTTTTTCTGAGTGTACATGTTGTAGAATCATATTGGTCATACAGTCACATATTTACATAAAATAATAATGCCTGTTTTGAGTTTTGTTTTAAAGGTTACATACACAATTACACTTCATTTATGCAAATATGCATAAATCCTTCAAACAAAATTGTGTGTATATTTGTACATGTATAAAATATCTCTTGAAGGTTATGTAGTCGTTTAGAAATAGCAGTTGCCTCTGGGGAAAGGAACCAGAAATTGATAACAGGTGGGAAGATTTTGTTGTCATTGTATAATGTTCTTTTGTATTGTTTGACTCTTACTGTACCTTTCCAATTACCTTTCCAATGGAAATACATTTTTTTACCAGTTTTTAATAGTTCATGGTAAATATCTAGATCAATTTGAGATGCTCATTTTAAATGAACAGAAAATGTATGAATAGTGTTAATTTGTGCTATCTGATTGGTTCTCCAGCAGCTAAGATATAGACCACCAATGATTTGTATCTATGTGTTTTACAGAGTTACATCCATTTGGGAGAATAGTCTCCAGATCACTACAATTTCTAGTTTTGTAGGAGCTTGGCTTGGAGCATTTCCTATTCCACTGGATTGGGAAAGACCATGGCAGGTTGGTTTTAATTATTTAAAGCAACAAAATATACTTTGGTATAATGATAATAAAAGTAATAAAGAAAACTAGTATGTAAATATTTAATTTTGTTGTTCAGTTAAGTAGGGATACCAATTTTTCTGTTAGTATAATCTAGGTGGTTTCTTATTGGGGCCTGTCCCAGTACCAGGGCATCTAGGTTGACCTTCATCTGTTTTCCAACACTATTTTGCTACATGTAGAGGTGAATAAACAAACTTATTTTGTGAATATATATAGGAGGGTTTTTGTTTGTTTATTGTTTTCACCATTAATCTAGAAGTTGTAGACATTCCCTGTTTTCAACTTTTTTTTTTTTTTTTTGTACTGGGGATTGAGCCTATGGCGCTTAAACACTGAGCCACCTGCCCAGCCCTTTTAATATTTTTATTTTAGAGACAAGGTCTTCCTGAGTTGCTTAGGCCCTCACTAAATTGCTGAAGCTGGCTTTGAACTTGTGATCCTCCTGCCTCAGCCTTCTGAGTAGCTGGGATTACAGGTGTGCACCACCAAGCCCAGCTCTGTTTTCACCTTTTATATTCACTGTAGCATAATTTTATTTTCTCTTTAAGCCTAAATTCGGATGGCTATCTTGCTTGATGGCAAATTGAATGTTCATCTTGAAATATATTTCAAAAGCAGATAGCAAAGTAATTTTTAAAATATGTGGTATCAGAGGAAGCTCACAAACATCATATTTTTCTTTTATTATGATAGGATAAAGCTGATATGCTAGGGAAAACAGAACCAAGTAAGATCTCTTTACATCCCCCTTTTTAATGACAAGGAAACTGACCTGTAGAGAACATTTAAGTAACTGAGCTTCGAGATGATGGATGTATTTTTAATTTTTAATGACTTTTTGGCATGCTGTAATTTAGTTTATTAAATTTACCATTGATCATTTAGATTATTGCTAATATTTTCTATAAAAAGATTGTTGTGATAAATGTCTTTGAGTCTGTAGCTTCATGAATTTTTCTATTTTTTTAGGGTAATTTGTACCAGATTGAATTATAGTATTAAAAAATAAATATACTCTTTTCTTTTTTCTTAATTTTTTTTTAGCTGTAGATGGATGCAATACTTTTAAAAAATTTTTTATGTGGTTCTGAGGATTGAACCCAGTACCTCACATGTGGTAGGCAAGCACTCTACCACTGAACCCCAGGCCAAATATACTCTTTTCTAACATGAAGATAACTTTTCTTCTGATCAGAAAGAGAATATATACTTATTTTTAAAATTTAAGCAATATGAATCATTAGAAAGAAGGAAATTTAAATTACTATTTAATTTTTTCATCTACCCAAAGGAAACCACCATTAGTATCTTGATGGTAATTTTTGCATCTCTCTCTCCATGTGTATAATTGTTCATAATGTACATGTTATTTTTCTCCCCCCCCACCTCAACAGTATATTATGGAACTCATTCCATGTCAATGAAAATTTACACATATGTAATACTCCAGTATTTGCATAAAATAATATACCAGTTTCTCAAACAAATGAACATTTAGGTTGTTTTCACTGTTACAATTTTTTTTTTTTTTTTTGGTACTGGATTGAACCCAGAGGTGCTTAAAGACTAAGTCATATCCCTAGCCCCTTTTTTATGTTTTATTTAGAGACAGGGTCTTGATGATTTACTTAAGGCCTTGCTAAGTTAATGAGGTAGGCTTCCAACTTGCCATCCTCATGCCTTAGCTTCCCAAGCCACTAGGATTATAAGTGTGTGCCACCGCTCCCAGCTCACTGTTAATTTATTATTATTATTATTGTGATTATTGTCATAATTAACCATTTATCTTTGCATATTTGTGGGGTCTGGATTCTGTGTTGTGTTCTTCATTGCTTATTGTTAGGTCCATTCTTTGTGCTTTCAGGCAGATGTTGTATCTCCAAACATTGAGTTGTTCTTTCACACTTTGTAATTCTGGTGTTTATACTTTCCCTATTCCGATTATTCATTCACTATCCCTGGAGGTTTGGAGTATGTAGTGTCGCTGATACCCTTCCCAAGGTTTTAATACTAATGAAGGTTTCCTTTATATTTTCTTGGCCATCTTAGTGATCAAGTTGGCATCTACTGGACTTCATTCATACTTGATTTTATTCAGTAGAGTGTCAGTGATTTCTAAACTGGAGGACAACAATATTGAAAAGTAAACATAGAAAATTGTTTTGAACTGTAGTAGATTGATTACTTTCAAGTAATGCAATTAAACCTAAATACAAAGGACTGAAAAACAAATACACCATGGGCCATCAGCTTTAATAAGCTAGTAAAATAATGTATAATTAATTTATCAGTCTGTATATACATGGAATATTTTAATTTTAGAGTGTCAACGTGTGATGTTTTACACACATCTTCTGTTTGTAAGACTATATGGAAATACAAACTGAATCATGGGGAGTTGCTATGATCTGTAAAATGTGGATTTTGGTTTGCTTAGAAAATGTATGTTAATCATTTATAATCCAATTATCCATTTTTGGATTGTTCAGGTTTTTAGCAATTGGCCCATATTTCAGCCTCAGTGCTTGTTTACAATAATGGGTAAGCTGGATCCAAATTGATATATCAGATTTTTTAAGTTAATATAACATTTCCACTTGAAATATTAATCTTTTAAAAAGATTAATATTTAGCTAACCAATTTAAATATGTAACAAGTTGTTGGTCTTCATCCTTAAGATGTTTCCTTCAGCTGGAATCTTACTGGCTATTTAGTTATTATTACTGTTGTGTTGTTTTTAGAGTATTCCAAGTTAACAATCCACATATTCACCATCATACTTTTAAATTGTGATACATACTGATGGGGAATGATGAATTGATGTGTAATTAAAAATCTTTTGTTCATTTAATACTTACCTGTCCCTCTTCTAGGAGTTATTTACTAATAAACCAGAGAAATTATGAGGTTTCATTTTTCTTTCACTTTTTACTTTTAGCAGACAAGTTTTTCTGTGTGTATTCTTTGTTATTATTATTATTATTATTATTATTTAAAAATTCTGGCTATACAGAACAAGGGCTTAATGTGGCTCATAAAGCTGACAGAATCTGCCAGAGAAGCAATAAATCAGATAAGGGGATATGACATTCCATAAAAATGGAGGTTTTGCTAGAGCAGAATTTCATGAGAAGATAATACTGTATACTCTTTATTAGCTAAAGTATAACATGTATTAAAAGAGATCTTAGTCCTTTGTTCCTTGTAGCCCAATACAGGTTTGATATTTGTGGTAAAGCAAGCTTTTCTGGATTGTGATCTGTTTTTTTCTAGTCAGAGAAACAGGAGTATTTAATCAATTACACTTTAAAAAACACATGCACACATGGAGCCCCACAAAAACTTTTAATCCCTTTTCTCTACCTTTAACTCAAATCTGACCTCATGTAATGTTCCTGAGGCCAAGCATAAGGTTACAATGTGAGTTCCATAATGAGAAATTTCAAGCATGTTTTTTTTAATTGTTTCTTTATTAAGTGACTGGAAAGACCCATTGAAAATATGTAAATGTTTTTTCACTTAATATGAATTCTAAGTGATTTTAAATAATGACGAGTGATGAAAGATAGTAGGTATCTTTAAAGATGGAGGAAGCCTTCACATTATGGAAGAAAACAAGAGGGTTTGGTGAAAGAGACTGGTAGGGTGGGTACCCACTACATCACTGGCCATCTTTGTTTTGTTTAATATTCAATATTAATCTTACCCTCTTCACTGCTAGAGAAAGCTGTAGATATTGATAAATATTCAGAATGCAGAAAACTTTCTATATTATAATTTTGATTCTTTATCTGCTGTAACTAAGTAATCAATAAATACATTACTATGTGCAAGGCATATACTTTATGTAAGAATTACAAGATACTTTAATATTATCAGGACTGGAATTAATGATTTGATAACAATAATTAGATTCAGATTTAATATGCTTTATATATTTTGTAGAATAGGTAGCTATGAGGTTTTTTAAATTTTTCTTTTAGTTGTAGATAGACACATTATTTTTATGTGGTGCTTAGGATTGAACCCAGTGCCTCACACATGCTAGGCAAGCACTCTACTATTGAGCTACAGCCCCAGACCTAGCCATGAGTTTTTTGCCTGGAAAATGTCTTAATTCTTTATCAAGCATGAGCTAGTATTTCATATTGTAAAACATCAGTGGGAAGTTAATAAATGTTGGTTATTCCCAGCAAAGAAAATTAACTATGAGGTTTTAAAACCCACATGTGTTATTAATAGGTAGGCAGACAATGATTAAGAGTTTTGGCATCATATTACTGGGTTCAAATCTTGTCTGTACCACTTGCTGATAAAGATTAAATAATAAAATTCTGAAATTCTTAGTTCAGCATTGACACATAGTTACTGCTTAATGTTCTAGGCATTTCTGATGTATAAAATGAGTATTTTAAAGACTGTTTCTTTGGCAACCCAAACAAATGCAAATTCTATTATTTATTGAGTTCTCATGTGTTAGTGCCTCATGTGTCTCAGTTTGTCATTGTCTTCTTCCTGCCCAGCAGTCCACCAGCTGTTAGAATGGACTATTAAGTTCTCTCTTTCTCAGGTATTTTGTTAAGCCAATTTAGGGTATTTGGTTTTCACATAATTTTCAATATTGTCTGACATTTCAGATAACAGTAGAAAAAAAAAACACATAATGTTTATAGATCTCTCTATGTACCAGACAGAAGGCTTGGCACTGTCACAGAATAATTTGATCCAAAGAACTGTAGTGCAAATAAATTTGAGTCCCATTTTTACATGCTGGAAAGTCAGAGTGTGGTGGGGAGGAGTAAAAGTATTTTTGACATTACTAAGCTGCTAAGAGGAAGTCTTAGGATTCAAACACAAGCGCCACTACAGCATGATTCTTCTCTTCACTACTAGAGTACTAGAGACTGAAACAGCTTTTTTTTTTTTTTTGAATGGTCATAGTTTTGGTCTCTTTGTAATAGCTTGAGTAGTTTTTAAATTGCTTTCTTTCCCCACATTGATTCCTCTAAATGCCATGAGCACTCTGGTGATATCTGTATTTTAGAACATAATTTAATACATTTGTAGGAGAGTATTCAAAGCTAACATGCAATGCTTTTGTGCCTGAGAACCCCACAAATGCCTTTATACTGTGGACTTCAGTGCAACTATCTCTAAAAGGAATTGAACCAGATACAGTCTCCTGTAATATACTTACTTTTAAAAAGCAAAATGTATTCTAAACAACAGAATTTGAAACTTTTAAATTTTAGATGCTGGAGATTGAAACAATTTTAAATTGTTTAAAAATATTTGCCCTTCTTCCCAGTAGATAACAGATAAATGAGTCTCTGTTATATTTAAAAATCCTTTTGTGTGTATGTGTGTTGTGGGGGTAGGGGGTGCTGGAGATTGAACCAAGGCCTTTGCATGCCAGACAAGCACTCTACCAACTGAGTTATATCCCCAGCCCACTAAAAATTCTCTTTTTTTCCTTCAGTTTTACCAGATCAAAAATTTATTATTTGTGAAACATATATTCATTTTAAAAAATCACAGATAATTCTCTTATAATTTGAAACTAGAGATCTTACGGGATTATAACGAATTATTACAAAATGCTAGAGGGAGGGATAAAACTAAGATTATGGATTTGATTGATTGAAGAGTTGTATGTTTTTAGGTTAATAGGTATTACTTTTACCAAAGGTATTATACCATCTTAGACAAAAATAAAATATTCATTAGTTTGATTTATATGTCTCATGCATGGGGAAAATGTATAATAAACTTACAGAGATGGTTCTGGATTTAAAAAGTATGTTTACTGTAGGGTAATTGTGTTAATATGCTCTGCTAGTAGTACTCTCCTCTGAAAGAGAATAATGCTGGCCAGGTTAACTCTTTATATGTACATGGCCAAGACCATTTAGTGTGCCTTTAACAAGAATTCCAGTCCAGTAACTACACATCTCTCCACAAATAATTCTTCCTAAATCTGTCTTTGTCATAGAGTGGACAGATCAGTAGATTTATAACTAGAGAAATGTAGCCAAGTGAGCAGATTCATCCATACATGTATTTCTCCATCAGAGAGGCAACAGCATTTTCTTGAGCTTTATTAGTTCAAGACCAAATTCCAAGGAAAATATAATGATTGTTTAAAGCCAGTATAAAGTCAACAGGCTTTGAAAGACAAATGCTATCACTCATGCAAAATCAAGTTTGTAGTAAGCACAATAAACAAACACCCATATTGAAAAGTGGCATGTGAGATTTAGAACTAGCTGCCTGGGTTTTGTCTTCCTTTATCAGAAAAGAAAGCAGGTAATCCTAATGGTTGAGTTGTCCTAAATGTTTTGAGGTATGCTCATCAGCTGACAGGTCTTTCCCTTGTTATTTGTAATGGTATATAACCCACTCCCCCACACAATTGTAAGTACTTTATTATATTGGAGCACATATTGTTAAGAATTTATACTAAAATTTACTCCAAATTAAATGCTTTAATATTAATTTTCACCTTAATTGCTTGGATTATAGATCAATAAATAATTTTTAATTTTGAGTGAACGAAATCATTAATATGAGACTTTAAAAATGATACAATGCTGAGAACAGTGGCACCTGCCTTTATTTGTAGGTGCTAAGGAAGCTAAGACAAGAGGAGCTCTTGAATTCAGGAGCTCAAAGCCAGCCTGGGCAATTAGCAAAATAAGAGAAAGAACACAAATGTCTACAAGTATTTAGTTTAAGCCCCATATTAATAATTAATTTTGCTTCTTAAAACTTATGGAAAATGAGCTGGGTTTGGTGGTGCCCTGTCTCAAAAAAAAAAAAGACAAATGTTTGAAAAATGATAACTGTTTAAAAAATATTTTTTAGTTGTAGATGGACACAATACCTTTATTTCATTTATTTTTATGTGGTGCTGAGAATCAAACCCAGGGTCTTGGACATCCTAGGTGAGCACTCTATCCCTAAGCCATAACCCCAGCTCCTGAAAAATAACTTTTTAATCTTAATGGTTGAGTTGTCCTAAATGTTTGAGGAAAAAAAATATAACTTTTATAAAAAGTGATAAAAAGAGCAGGGAATTTCTCTATTTTTGAAATGAAGCTTCAGATGGTTAACATACTGCTGGTATGTTGTATAGCTGAGAATTTTTTTTGTAAGCCTTATATTCCTGAGACAGTTAATGTGAAGAATGGTATGTATTAAAGATGATTACATAAAAGGGTAAGGGAATAGTTCCTACCATACAATATAACATTACTTGTGAACTATTTTATTTCTTTAGATTGAGGGTTCTACTTATTAGCTAGCTGTGTCAGTTACCTAAGAAATACGTGTTCATGAAAGTTCAATTTCTTTCAGTTATAATAATAGTGGCACATGGTACTTTACATTTTTCATGACACATTGCAGAATATTCATCTAATAAAACAGTCTACATTTTAAGTACAATAGGTAATACTACATCTGTTTCGTAGATTGGGAAACTAAGTCTCACAATAAGTGATCTGGCCAAGATCATATGGCTGAACTGGCCCTGAAACTCAGGAACACATTAAACTAATTTCAAAAATATTATCATTTCATAATTTCAAATAATCATAATTATAGGAAACCTGTGTCAGCTTATATCTGCCACAGTCAATAATGACATACCAAAGCACTGTTATGTAGAGGATCAAAAGTTGTGGATATCACAAGTTTTAAAATCTGTTTGGGGCCTGGGGTTGTAGCTCAGAGAGAGAGTGCAGGTAGAGCACTCCTAGGTTCACTCCTAGCACATGTGAGGACTGGGTTTGATCCTCAGTGCCATATAAAAATAAATACATAAAACAAAGGTATTGTGTCCATCCACAACTAAAAAAAAAATTTTAAATCTGTTTGGTTTCTTCTTAAATCATGCAGTTTCATGACTTAAAATTCTGAAACCCAAAGGTAAAGGGTCACTATTAATAAAAATACTTGTACTTGTTATGGTAGAATGATGTAGAGTACAAGGATTCTTAACCAAGAGTCCTTAGATGAGCTTTGGAGGTCTGTGAACCCCTGAAAATACATGCAAATTTATTATCTGAGAATTATATTTGGCAAGTGAGAATCAAGAATTCTGGTAAGTGTAATTATAAAAAGTATTTTTAAAGTACTTATAGGAGCAATTCTAGAGGTTGTATATTTGGGGAAGAATGCTACTCTGGATTGTGGTGGCAATTTAAATGTGCCTATTAGGAATAAGAAGTAAAAGATTATGATAAATTAGAGTTCAGATATACTGGTCACTTGTGCTATATGCCAGATACAGTTATAATTATGGTTATAGAATGCATATGCATTTACCTCATTTCATCATTATAACAACTTTGAGGTAAGTTTTATGGCAGTCCTCATTTTTCAGATAAGGAAACCAATGCACAAAAAGTTGAGATGACTTGCCCCAGGTCACATATTTAATAAACACCAAAACTCAAATCCACTGTCTAGTACGAAATCAGTGTTCTTAACCACTGTTCTGTACTACTTAGAATATGCTTTGAGGAATATTAAAAAGTGCATAGATATGTGGTGCATTTTCCTTTCCCAAAGTGTAAGCAGAAAGTTCTGTAGCAATGTCTGATCAAAAGAGAAGTATGGCCAGGCCTGGTGGCACATGCCTATAATCCCAGCTATTGGGACACTGAAGCAGGAGAACTGCAAGTTCAGGGCTTGCCTGGTCAACTTAGCGAGACCCTGTCTCAAATAAATGAAAAGGGGTGAGGATGTAGCTCAGTGGAAGAGCACTCCTGGGTTCAATCCCCAGCACCACAAACACAAAAAGAAAAAAACTCCACAAAACAATAACAAAACAAGCAGTATGGTCTTCAGGTAGAAATACACTTTTATAATTTTGAAGTGTTTTTCAATAAGTGATAAAACTGATTTGTATAAAACAGAGAAAACAAATAGATAGTTTATGTATTATGATGTTTTTTAGCTTAGGAAGGAAAATTATTTCTAAGAGAAAAAAGCTTATTACTAGTACTGTGTACTCAGACCCTATTCTATGGAATATAAGACCTTTATTACTGTTGTTTATTTTAAGAGAACACTGGACTTTTTTTGGCTTAAGTGATGAAAAATACATAAGGAGACATTTGATTTAGAGATCAAACCCCCAAGGTGACTTATGGCAGTCTTCACTTTGCAGGTGAGAAAAACCAAAGCACAGAAAGGTTAGATGGAAAGGACAATAAGGCGTGATTTTTTTTTTTCATATGCTCTAGCCACTTACCTTTTTAAATAGGTTTTTCTTTTTAATGGCAATTTTAATAATTATAACCAATTGTATTGTATTATATTTGGTTATGTAATATGAATTATTTCTTCTATATAGTGATTAAAACATTTTAAATTAAGAAAGTGGATAAAATAATTGTCACTTCAATGGCTAGCACCTGTGAATGACTTCCTTTACCTGAATGTCTGTTCTCAGTTTCCTACTTTCCTTAAACAAAACAATTATATAGAGCCATCTTAGATTACCATAATTTGGAGAAATATTTGTACTTATGCAGTTGAACTGTTTGACACCATGTTTTGTTTTGTTTAATTCCTATTTATGGCATAAACAGTATTAAACAAAAACATCTGTATGTAAGACAAGGACATAATTTTAAATAGCAAACTTTAAGATCTAATTATTAAAATACATAATCAAACCAACATGATTTATGTTACTGTGAATTATATTGCCATGATGTAGTTTTTAAAATTTTAAAGCAATGATAAGCAGGAAGAAATTGCTCAGGAGTGTTTACTAGTGGGCAACTTCCCTCAGCTACCTCTTTTCCCATTCCCTATCATGGTCTACAAAAAGCAGGAAAATTGCCCTTAGATAAGAAAAAGACTACTTATTTCAGGAAAGTCACCCAGGTTCTCTTTTAAGTACAAAGCCTGCTCTATCACTTGCTGTCTTAAAAGCCAGTGCACATTTTAATTTGCAGATGGCATTGATTTCTTGAGATTGACATAACACAGAAACACAAGTGTTCCAAGCCTTAACCCCTCATTAGACAAAACTTTCTAACCAACATGATTTCATTTTTGGCACTCCATTAGAGGTGAAGTATGGCAGCTGTTCAAAGAATGTAGCTGAATGTGTATGTATGTGTTTGAGAACAAAGAGCCATACTGAAATTACAAAGTGACTAAAATAGAATTTAGTAACCCAAATTGGAATTTGGCTGGAATTCATGAGGAATTATTATTCTTTATACACTCTGACAGTGAGATTTTTTAACTGAGGGCACGTGCTCACACTTTGCCAATGATGAGCAGTCCTACAGCAGAGCAAAGAGGGGAAACAGTATTTTTCTAAATGTTTTCTTAGGGTATTAAATAAAAACTACTAAGGTAAGAAGTTCAGTGCTTTACATAGAGAGTAAACTATACAGATCATTTTATTTGTAACCCCATGTGTTAAGAAGGGACACTGTAAAGTAACAATCAATTAGAAAGCGACAGTCAACAAACCAGCATTTAATTTGGTATTTAAAATTAATAATTAAAAATCAAATGGAGCAGTGCTTAAAGTAACTAAGATAATTCATGACAAACACCATTAATTCAAGCTCTAATTATTGGAAATATGATAATTCGACATGGGTAACTTAAATGAACCAGTAGAGATAGAATAAGGGCATATGTTAGCAAAGTATTAAATAAGTTTTCAGGGAGCCTCTAAAATTATCTTTAAGAACCTTAAAACTAGTTCTCTATATGCAAAAACTGATTAACACAAATTTCTTTGAAGTTCTTTCATACATGACCTTATTTGAAGCAATGCATTTGCAAAATTCATGTCAAGAAAATATTTTTGAATTATTTCCCAGATCACTAGTTTGAATAGTCACTCCAGAGATTTGTCTCAATTTCTATTGAAAACCTACACTTTAATGAAGACATGCTTCTGAAAATAAGGCAATTTTTCTACAATCTGCTTATGAATAGAAAACAAATCTTTGGTTTTTAGTTAAAGTGACAGGAAGGGCTTTGCAAAAAGAAATACTAAATAACCAAAACAATTAAAAAGCTCTTAATAAGCAATGGGAAACTCCAACCCCATCAAGGTCAATAGAGTACCTAAGGCACCTCAGGTGCGGATGATTCAGTCATCTCTGTTTAGAGTTCTAATAATCTATATACATGATTCTGACCATCTGGAGAATGTGAAGTGAAAAGGTGATGTCCAACAAAGATTACTGTGAATTAGAATGAAGAGAATGAAAAGAACTGATAAATGGGAGAGACACTGGAGATCATCTGTTCTACTTCCCATATTTATAATAAGATGAGGAAACTGAGGCCCGGTCAAGAAACAGGTGACACACCAGCTTGCATTTCCAGATTCCTAATCCATTTCTCTTAGGGAAGAATATATTCTAGATTTTAACTTTCAATGCCAAGTAAACCAAGTGTGAATGGTTTCAGAGATGTAAATTTGGAAAAAAAAAAATCTCCATCAAATCCCCAAAGGCAACTTGGAAGTGTATAATACTTTACTGTCTTAATTCCTCTATACCATGTGTCTAGCAACTTAACTAATATGTTAATTGATTTATACAATCCCTTTTGATTCTAACTAAAAGGATGAAAATTAAATGAGAAAATTACAGAATATTCCATTCAATACATAAGGCCATGACAATGTGAACCACTATTTCTTGTAAGAAAGAAGACATCCAATCAATACCCAATTCCACGAGAAAACGCCTGTTATCCAATAGACTCTCCACTCTTCAAAGAGGAAGATGATGCTTATATTTCAAAAAATCTCTACAAAGCTCACATACAAGACAGTACATTCTAGATTTGTGACTGATATGAGCATTTAAGGCTGTAAATTTCAAGTATAAATGTTTATAGTGTTCCATTACCCAATCGGTGCGCTAGACAGAGCTTTAAGCATAAATCCTGGAAGTTAACAGAAACCCACCAAAGACAAAGAAAGCATAGTTTAGGCAACAGCAAATTTAAATGTAGGAAAGGCCAGGGGAAAAATTATAGATTAGATTATGCTTCTCTAAACTGCATTAGGTGGTTCGTGCTGAAGCTGTGTCTAACACTACTGTCGGTTGCATGGCATTTGGAGTAAGGCAGATCCATAGCAGACCAAACAAGGAAGTTGAATTAGGTAACAATCAGTTAATAAGATGGTTCACCTCTACCACAGTTCTCTGGCCTGTTTCCACAGACAAGATTAGAAATGGCTCCAGTACACCAAGCTTTACAGATGAAAATGAAGATTTGTTTCCAACTGTTTTTTTTTCTTTTTCTTTTTTCTTTTTTTTTTTAAGCAGAGCCTTTCACCTAGGGACTAAAACATATTGGCTGCAGATTAAACAAGTCAACATTATTTACTACTGGCTTAATGTTATATTGTGAAATGTAATACAGCTGGAGAAAGTGAGTATTTGGAAGCCAGTACTATTTTGTTTAATTTACACTCTAGGTGTGTACATAAAAGCTGTGGTTTATAACTTTTGCTATGGTTCCAATATCTATATCTGAAAGGTGATATCAATTTTATTGTGGAAGCAGCTGCTCTATTATAAATTCCATGTAACATGCTTAGATTCTAGGTCTTTCCTCTTTAATACAATTTACTTCCTTGGGGTTTGGTCAGCATACATACTTCTTATTTCATTTGATGTATACAGCCAATGTAGGAATTTTAAAAAAATTACCACCTAGTTCAGAGAGCTAAATTGAGTCCAGGATTATGGCAAAGTCTGACCCAAAATTTTAATTTGTAATTTCAGCATGTTTCTCATGCAGTTTGGGGAGCATCAAACTAAATCTACAATTGTCAGAAGCCTTGTTACAGTTTAATGCACATTAACTAAAATGTGTACATTTTTAGTGTCATGATAATGCAGTTATGACCTTATTACACTTTTGGCATTCTTTAAGAAAGCACATTAAGCTTTAATATAGAAATATTTAGGTTACACTTAACTTGTGCTCAAGTAATAATAAAACATTTGTTCTTTTTTGATCTCATACATTTTTTTCCTCAGGTTTGGCCCATCTCCTGTACGCTTGGAGCGACCTTTGGCTACGTGGCTGGCCTTGTTATTTCACCACTCTGGATATACTGGAATAGAAAGCAACTTACATACAAGAACAATTAATTAGAGCAAAGGGAGAAGATATTTCTTTGTGCAGATTCCACAGGGCTGTGCAGAAATGTGTGTGGTCAAAGCCAAGCAGGTCCATTTACAGCACTGTTTTTTTTAATGTAGTTTCAACATGATGTGATTGTAGCTTTTTAAACTATGAAACCCCTGAGAGATTGTACCTTCTAGTTGAAATAAAGTATTTATAATAGATTGTGGCTTCAGATGCTGTTTGCTGCTTCTTAGACCTTTAAGAAACATTCTTAATGAACTTGATAGAATTCTGAGGACAGTTGTTTTTTTCTTTCAAGTTTTAAACTGCTTCATTATCTATGAGAAGTCTGATAAGCTGTACCATTTCACACACTTTCTGAGAGAAATTGAGTTTCCTTGGCCACTGAAGATGTGTCTCACGTAATCAAACAACAGTTTATACATCTTGATCCTATTCTTTTTTTAACCGTGTGTTTCTTTGGAGTTAAAATGGCTATGATAGCCTCATCGAAAACAGTCTTCAGTCCCTTCTGGGTTAAAGCTGAACATTCCACATAGCAGCATGCTCCTATCTGGGAAGGAGAAAAATACATTACAAATATATAAAATTGTATTACATGCAATTGGTATGACACATCTCATTATACAGAAAATTGTAAAATATAGCTATGCAACAGAAATGATAAACTCATTATCCATATTTATAATACCAAGAGGTAGCCATACTAGTGTATGTCCTTCCAGATGTTCTTTATGAAAAATTCTTTCATTTATCAAATACTTATGGTTACCTACTATGTGTCAAACACTGTTTGGGTGCTAGAGATACTTCAGTGAACTGAACCAAAAAGCAACGGTGCTCTGCTGTGTGGCACCTACATCTTCCATGGAGTAGAGGCAGACAAAGAAAGGAAAATAGAGCAGATGACGGTAAATGCAGAAAAAACAGAGTGAGGGAGGTGGGAGTGCTGAGGATGGCAGTGGTTGGGGAAGGTTCTCAACAGGCCAAGTTTGAGCAGTGAGGCCTACCAAGGGAGACAGCTTCAGAGAGATGGGCCACAGACACAAAGACTGAGTTGGAAGCAGGCTTGGAGCATTCCAGAACAGTGAGGGAGCCAGAGTAGCAGCAGAACGCATCAGGGAGTGTAAGAGATTCGATTGTAAGAACTTGCATCTGACTCCTAAATGAATTTGAACATTCCTATCTTCAGGGTAATCTGCATTTTGGGGGGAATTTTCTATCAATGTCCTTAGCCTGTTTTTCTATAGGGATATATTTACTTTTCTGATGAATTCACTTTATACAAGGGGTTCCTATATATTAAAGAAAGTTAATGAATTTTTCTGCCTCATACATCAAGTTTGCTGTGTGACTTTTAATTTCTGGTATTTGATATAGTATTAAATTTTTGTGTAGCTAAATCATCAATAACTTAATTTATGACTTTTATCTTTGTGGTATTTAGAAATTCTTTCTTCCCCCATGAGTATGAAATTGAATATAAGGAATTCCTAAAATGATTTGTTAGTGACACCATTTACATTTTTTCTTTGAGAAAAAATTGTCCCCCAGAAAGTTTTCCTGCTTTCTTTTGCCTCCTAATAGTACATTTTCAAAGGCCTTATTAGATTCTGTTTCCACAGAAGTCCTATTAAAGTCATAATATTTAAAAAATAGAATCCAATAATGGTAGGACTGACTGGGAAAAAAAAGCAAACCTGGCTTCAGGATGAGGAAGAATGTAAGTTAAAAGGCTTATGTATGTTATATATTTTTTAGAAATCGGGACATAATTTTATGATTGTAGCCACAGATTTAAATTGGCTTTCTTTGTCACTCTACCACCTAACTCCAGAGTCTTAACTGGAAACAGTCTGATCTGGCACAGTTCAGATGTTTAAGTAATTATTAGGGGCTTGAAGTCTCAGCACCGGCTTCTGATGCCTCTTCCTGTGTGCCTTTTAAAGAAAATACTGTAGGCAGGGTAGCATAGGTAGAAGAGCCTGGTCCCTGAAGTCAGGCTTTGGAGTGAAACTTGACTCTGCCACTACTGCTGTGGGGCCTTGGGCAAATTCCCTGCCATCTCCAAGCCTCTGCTTTCTCTTTACAACAGGGGGAACAGTCAAACCTGGCTCGCTGAGTTGGCACAAAGGATAAACGAGATCATGCATGTCAATCAATCAGCAGAGGAACCAGCATACTGTAAATGCCAGTTAAGAGTTAGCTTTTACTATGATATTTACAGTTATTTCTAAATTCTGCAAATATTCCATTACCTCTTTTGCTAGTTTCTGTCCTTGTTCCACACATATAGGTTTTTCTTTCATATCATTCAGTCTTGCTAAAGTTTTGGGGTCATCTCGGAGATCAATCTAGTTAAGAAAAATCAATAATGTCCCACAATATTACAAGTCTTTAAAGAGAAATCAATGCATATAGTCCCATTTGATCCCCCTATACCCCCCCAATCAATCAATCAATAAAATAATTGAACTTTTAAAAACTACCAATATAATTGTTTTCATTTGGCACTACTTTTTCCAAAAATAAGAAATGGCTTATTAACTTGCAGCTGAGATAAACACACATATATTATTTGGAAATCTTGGACTATTTGAGAGCAACCCCCAAACATTGGTAAAATCAAAGGAGACATACCTGAGTTCCTATTAATAAAAAGGGTACATTTGGTGCATATTCCTTAAGTTCTGGTACCCATTCCTCTTTCACATTTTGAAATGAGGCTGGGTTTACCACAGAGAAGCATATGAGGAAGACATCAGTCATTGGATAAGATAAAGGCCTCAGACGATCATAGTCTTCCTAAGGAGAAGAAAGACAAAACTCACTGTTCACATTTACATGTCTACAGTCCACAATGAGATGTATATCAGGTCCCATGGCCAAGGAAGCAAGTCAGGCGTACTCCATAGATGCAATGTATGGCATTCTACATAAAGCAAGATAGTTCCACTTGTTTTTGTTATTTCTCTTTTTTAAATTATTTTTTATATATTTATTTTTTTAATTGTAGTTGGACACAATACCTTTATTTATTTATTTTTATGTGGTGCTGAGGATCAAACCCAGGGCCTCACAAGTGCTAGGTGAGGAGTACTCTACCGCTGGGCCACAACTCCAGCCCTTTTAAATTTTTTTTATTATATTTTTTGGGTTTTTTTTTTAATGTTGTTTCCCTTTTTGAAGTCCTGAAAACCAGTGGGGTAATATTATGAGAGTATCATTAAAAGATTCAATGAAAAAAGAAAATTCATTTTGATTACTAAAGTTGTCACTGGGAACCTTTTTAACTGGAAAGTCTACATAGAGAATTGAGGAGAACTAGACACTACATATCATAATTTAATAACATATCCTGAAAATTTACTTATATGTCAAGTACTGATCAATAGGGTCTTTCATAGATTACTTAATCCTTGTAACAACTGTATAACACAAGTACCCTTATTTATTTTTTATCCTTTTGTATAAGTGGAGACACAGAAGGTAAGTAACTTGTTTTAATGATATACAGCCATAAGTAAAGGAACTGGGATTCAAACCCTAGCAGGTTTGACTCCAGAGCCTCATCTTATCTATACACCTCCAATAAGACCTGCAATTTTAGCTTTCTATGTAGTTTTCATAAAATTGTGTGTGTGTGTGTGTGTGTGTAAGAGAATTTAAAGAGAAATATACACTGTAAATCCTAAAAGCCTCCCTTTTCTCCCCAACTTTCATAACCTTTCCTAATTTTTTTCATGTATATCCATCCAATTCTTTTTCTAAGCATATATATATATATATATATATATACCTGCAACTATATATGTTCAGTCATCTGGACATAAACTAGATCACACAGCACATGTTATACATATCTCCCTTGCGGAGTCTATCTTGGAGATCTCTCCAAACAGACCCCCCTGGACCATCACATTGTTTTAAACTGCTGCTGCTTAGTTATCTTTCTGGAAGGATTTTTAGTCTCTGTCATAAAAGGCAGTGAATGTCCCATTTTGCACAGACTGTTCTGTGTGGCACAAAATTCTGCTTTTACATTCTAGTGAGGGAACAGAATCAGAATTCCACTTTTTTCATTGGTAGACTCACATCTGGTTTCAAGGAAACTTTTTGGCCTAGGACACCTGCCCTCTTAAATGACCTTCTTAAGTACAAAACACCACAAACATAAAACTAAGAGAACATTAAAATATCTTCCACTCAGTGTTTAGCAGTACTATTTCCTTCATAGGACAGTTTTTATTTCATATTATCATCTGATAATTTTTACTATAATTTTCAACTCAAGCATACAATAATCCCCGAGTATCTGTGGGAGACTGTTTCCAGGCCCCTGATGATCAAATGTTCACGTTCCTTAAACAAAATAGCACAGTATTTGCATATAATCTCCATAATCCTCCCATATACTTTAAATGATCTCTAGATTGCTTATAATACCCAGTAGAATTCACACACTGTGCAAATCATTGTTATACTGTACTGCTTAGGGAATAAAGACAGGGGAAAACGTCTGCATATGTGCAGTACAGATTCTTTTACCCCCAAATATTTTCAATCCTCTGTTGGTTGAATCTGCAGACATGAAACCTACAGATATGGGAGGCTAACTGTATTCATCTTAAACTCTTGGAGGTTAACCCTTATGTTTTTATTGCAAAGGTTTACGCCTATATCCTGGAGTCGTGGGTACTGAAACATTTCTCAGGTGATGGCTATCTTGTGACAATGGAGAAATGCTCTCCCCAAGCTTCTACACCCTTTATTTTTAAAGTGAAGGTCTCTAGTTGGTTTTTACTAAAGCTGTTCCCTGGTGTTAAGGCATTATTAATGAAGAGATCAAGTAGAATGGGTATGGGACACATCACACCTCAGTCAGTTACTATGAAAGAACTAATATCAAAAAACATAACATGTTTTAAACTCCAGTTTGAGTGGCAAGTAGTATGATCAGGTGTAATGAATATATTTTTTACACACTACTGCCTATTTCAAACTACAAATCCATAAAAGAATCAAAAAGAACAGTATTTAGTCTCAGCATCCTACCCAGCAATCCTGTGATTGGCCTGGTCCTAGAATGGGATGTTCTTATTAAACATCACTCCTTGTCCATTTTTAGATTTCCAATTTTCACAGAAACAGAAATGGGGGTACTATCCCATAGGATTTTGAGGGAATCAATGAAATAATACAACTTTATAAAGCACTCAGCATCTCCCATGGCATATGAAAGAATCTGTTAATGCTTTAACAAAAACTATTTACCCAATGGCAAGCTGACTCTCCCATTCCTCTGCAAATCCACACAGGGTTCCAGGAGTTCAATGCCTTCCCAGCTTTGTATCTCCCTCCAACCCCAGAAGAAACTCCTTTACTGAGAAATAAAAAAATTTACCTTCCCAACAAAACACACAAACGAAGGTCTCTTGAAGACAGTATAATTTTCAGATTAATAAAAAGAGAATGATATAGATTGACTGTACTAATTAGTCATTTTGGAATTCAACAGCTTTAAGATGACCTAAAACATATCCAAGGAAGATTCATATTTTTCAAGAATGCCAAATTATGTGCTGGGGCTGTAGCTCAGTGGCATAGTGCTTGCCTAGCATGTGTGAGACACTAGATTCGATCCTTAGCACCACATAAAATAAATAAAATAAAGGCACTCTCTATCTACAACTACAAAAATTTTTTTAAAAAGAATCCAAATTAGGTTTTTAATGAAATTTTTACTTTTGAAGCAAGTTTACCTCACGCGGGAAACAGAATTGGGCACTCTCTTCTCTAGGAGGCTAGGACAAGAAACTTCAAAAAGCTAAATTCAAAGTTCCCTAGGAATTAATACTTAATAATATTAATCCAAATATTCCACAGAACATAGGTATATTACATAAATTCCTCTCCAAACCACAATGAACCCTGATTTTCCTGGCTGAGAAACATGTGAGCACAAAGGGGGAGGGCAATTAGGCCAACCATTTCCAGGGATCTGCTAATTTGCAGATTTGTTAAAATAATTAAATGTGAAGAACTGGGGTTATAAACAAAACCAAAAACACATTTAGAATTCTTTGGAAAGAAACGTTACTTCCTAAGTCTGAGCTACCTAAATGAACTCCTTCTGGCCTGTCACCTCCAGCTAAATAACTGGCAGTTATTATAGGAATAAAACCTTTCTGCTTCTATCCAGCCTGAGTAATTAGAAGTCTAATAATAGACAGCAAATTTAAAAAATAAATTATCCCCTGTGCATACTGTACCAGCATCATAGAAAGTTGTTTCTACTCACTGCTCCATATCTTGAGTGAACTTAATGTGGAATGTCAGATTTGGAAATAAATAGGTGGAAGCTTACAGAATCATTTTGAGCTATGTATTTTAAATCTGATAACACAAAAAGATTTAAAATGGAGGAACTGCCCTTACTTTTTAAATGACTCCTTATCAAAGTCATAACTTCTCCCGACAACTCTCCAGTGTCCTCCTAATTAACAAACCAATTAGATATTTTAGTTCTAATTTAAAAAGTAGGTATTTAAACATTTAACTGGAACATTCTTAGGAGTACATAAAAGAATATTAAAGACAACTGTCTGACATCGAAATCATTTTTCAAAAAAATAGTGTGGTCACTGTGTTTACTGGCCACTTAGTTAATTCTTTAGCTTCTTTCTTCTTTAAGTAGCAGAGGTATGAGTTCCGGTAGCTCAGTGATGAGGCTCTGCAATATTGTCAAGAATCCTCCATCTGTGACGATGACAACCATAACCCTTAAAAATATCACACACCACCAGACAAAAATCACAGACAAGGAACCAAAGAAATGCACTCTGAGAGGAAATAAAAAGATCTCCAGGAACAACAGGGAGAAACAGCAGATTCCCATGAGTCATGACCCCTATTTATGTATGGCTAGCTAGCGGGGCCCATGAGTGTGTTTATGCCCAATTCATGAGGATTTGAGCATTCCCTTCTACTTTGCTGGTCTTTGTTTAAAATACATGTTTCAGGTTGTGGATGTCTATTTAAAATACCCATCTAGAAGGTACATTTAATATAAACCCATTCACGCTGGACAAGCTAGCCTTGGTTGTGCTTTGTTAGCTGGTGTGCTACCATACATGGGCCACTTGAAAGTAATCAATAAGGATTTATTGGAAGATAAGACTCCATACACACAGATAAGACAAAATTGCACACTGTGGAGCTTATAGTTCAGTTGGGAATACAAGACACAAACAACAGGAGAGACAAAGGTGGAGGTGGGAGAAGGTGAACAGATAAATGCTTAATCTGACAATCATTATTAAGCCACTACTATGTGCCCAGAATGGTGCATATTCACCAGGGACATGAAGGAAGGGCAAGATTCAAATATCTAATTTGAAAAACACTTTGCAAACATAAGATATCTGTTAAAAATAAAGCAAGGAGCTCCAATGAGTAACTGTACCCACAATGTGCTTATACACCTCTTCAGGGCTTTGCAGACCACAAAACCAAAGCCTAGAAGAAACTGCAAGCTGCTATGGAAGGACACCTTAAGGTTAGTACCATCAAGGAAGAATTCGGATTGGTGGGGAGATATACTCAAGTGTGTAACAGTCTTTGCTCTTAGGAAGTTCATTGTAAGAGAAGAAAACGTGAACACATATTACAAGTTAGAATGTGGTACATGCCAAAAGTGGTAGTTAGGCCCCCAAGAAAAGACTTCTTCAAGAGGCATTTGAGTTGGGCCTTGCAGAATGGAGAGGATTAGAACATATACAATCAGTGTGTCCTTGGGTAAGTCC